GGTGTTTAGTGTAGTAAGGGGAGGGGGGTGGGGGGGGAGGGGGGGGGGGGGTTTGGAGGGGGGGGGGGGGGGAAGGGGGGGGGGGGAAGGAGGGGGGGGGGGGGGGGGTGGGGTGGGGGGGGGGGGGGGGGGGGGGGGGGGGGGGGGGGGGGGGGGCGGTCAGGGGTTGTTGATGAACTAGGTTGTCTGAGACTGTATTACAAATGTTTTGAAAAACATGGATATTTCTCAAATTTTGGAACTTCAAAATTGATTATTTTTTGCAAAGAGACAACTTTATTATTATCTGTTAGACAGTGGATGTGCATAAGAGGGGAGCCTCCCTTATGCTGCGAGTAGTCCTTTTTGCCACAGAAAACAGCAGCTAATTTAAACTACGCTCAAAGACAAAGGGATGCTCAAAAAACAAACAATGCGTATCTTCATCTCCTTCAAGTACACGTGGACCCGAGATCCACCCTTTGTAATTGGCTGTTTAACAGGCAATTCAAAAACGAGAATTCGCATTCCCTGAAACGGGCCGATAAATGCGTCCAGTTAGAAACGGTTGTACCGCTCTCGCCAAAAAAAACAAAACAAAAAAAGCTGGTCCAGCATGTCAAAACTATAGCAGGGAATCCCATACCCTATCATACTGTGAAACTGACGATTCAAATCCAACACTTTGCAGAGAACTATGGAACCAAACCCCTAAAGGTTAATGGGCCGCTTTTAAAAGGGAGACAGGAAAACCCTTACTCCTACTGATAGCGATCAGAGGTCAATTTCTGATACAGCAAAGATTAGAATCCACAGAAAATCACTGTACAGTCGTGAACTCTCAGTGAAAGAAACATTTGCTAAATCCATAATACGAATCCACCAAAACAGCCTTTACCACTTAAGGACAAAATGAGGGAGCAAGTGACGTATTAGCAAGGCGTAAATGCCTTGTAGGTATACCAAATCCCCTTTTTTATCGTTTACGAAGGCTAAAACGTGTTTTGTGGAAAGGGCGACTCAGGCTTATGAGCTCTTTCACAGTATTTTCAATTTTACTACACAATTTGTGAATTAGAATAGAACAATACTCTAATATCTATTTAAATATTCTCAAAACATAGCCAAGAAAAGTCTTAATGTTGACAGTTTTGATGACTGTCAGCCAGTGTAAAATTATTGCGATAAACGCGCAAACTCACTCTGTAGCCGCCAACCCCTCCCCCTCCCTCCCTCGTTGGGGGGTGGAGATCACTTGTGTCCACATGGGAGAAAGCTGATAGGCTCCCTTGTCCCAGTTCATAGTAGGACGAACCAGAGGAAAATGGCCAGACCCCGTTTCTAGACACCCTTATCACCAGGAGGGAGAACGGATCCATCAAACTACTGGTTTACAGGAAAGCCACACACACAGACCAGTACCTGTCGTTTCAATCGCATCATCCACTTCAGTCCAAACTTGCTGTCATACGGAAAGGAGTGACAGCATTGTCACGGAATAAGAAGACCGTAAACAAGAGGAAGAGCAGATAAGAACAGCCCTCCATACATGAGGTTACCAGGATTGGGCGATAAAGAGGGTGAAAGAGGAAATGAACAGGAAGAAGGATATTCAGAAAAGATAAATCCAAGAAAGATAAAGCACAAGAAAAATCAAGAGGAGTGGTGACTGTCCCATATGTCCACTCATTCACGGAGAAAATACAACGTATATTCACTAAACACAGGGTAGCCACAGTGGTTAAACCTCAAACCACCCTCAGACAGGTTCATTGTTTACCCGAAGGACAGAGTTGATAAGCAAAAAACGGCTGAAGTGGTGTACAAAATTCCATGCAACCAATGTGAAAAGGTATACATCGGTGAAACAGGGGGACAGCTGGGAACCAGGATCATCACAGAACATAGAAAAGAAGCTGAAAGATCTCTGACGGGAATTTCACAAGATCCACCCGGAGAGCTTCTACCAATGAGCACCATAAATCAGCCATAAAAAACCACGTCTGTCAGAACAATCATATTATGAATTGGGAAGCAAGTGAAATAGTTGAGCAGGAAAGCGACAAGTTTAAGAGATGGATCAAGGAAAGCATATGTATTAGATCGAACACTCCTACTATGAACAGGGACCAGGGACGAGGGAGCCTATCAGCTTTCTCCCATATGGACACGAGTGATCTCCACCCCCCAACCAGGGGGGGGGGGGGGGGGGG